CCAGAATCTGAAGGGGACGTTCTCTTTATGCTTGTCGCTTGGCTCGTGGCGATATGTACCTTTGTATTGTTTCTTACTGGAGCGTAAGTGCTATATTATAAACGCATTTCATACATATAACACAACTGCCATTCAGATAAGATTGAAAGCGAAGTTCTTTTCGTTCAAAAGGAACGCCCACCTTGCACAGTTTTGTTTTATTGAGTAGCGAGTAAAATAAAAAAAGATACAGAATCTTCGTAGAATTTTTTTAGTTGCCGAGAGTCATAAATTACTTCATGTTTATATTCTTGCTCAAGTCGAATGTGGTCAGAGGTAACTTGACACGATGAAGATAGGCTATAGTGAAGAGGTTAGTGTCAAGTTATCTCTGAAGCTCAGGGTGATGCACATTGTACCTCTTCATGATTTTATTGTCTCTTTTCAGATTAACATGTTGGAAGATCATGAAAACAAGATCGACACAAGACTGTGCCTTCTTGCCAATGTTAGCTGTTTACGTCAAGTTAGTTAACTTTTTAGCTTATGAGGGATAGATTTTTATTTAATACCTCTAAAATAAAACCCCTAAAATAAAAGTACCTGGCCTCATAAACAATCAATCAAAACATTTCATATTAATGATGCTTTTAACGATAACACTTTTTGAATGCAGAAATAAAACAAGGGGACGATCGATGCTGAAAAAGAAGGGGTTGTTTTCGTGCCTATAAAGCTATTTTTATTATCTAACTATTTATTTATTTATTTATTTATTTATTTATTTATTTATTTATCCCAGCACGCTCTCCTGGATGTTTTACGGCAAGTTGACCAACGACCGCCTAATGGTGGCTGTGTATATTTGGGGCCTGATATGCCAGAGTGTATATATAACTGTATATTATATTTATACACATAGCACGGTAAGTACATGGAAAATTTTATTACCTGATATACATGTATATATGTTAGTTTAGAAATCACGTAGACTATTTAGCTATAATCCTTGAGACTATTACAGTAACCTTCTTCTTATCTCAAAGTAGGGAAAGAGCTAGGCAAGCCTTCATCAGTCAGACTATTTGTATGTGGGCCGTTCTAAATTCTTTTAAAAATTCAATGTGACCCATGTCTATGACACAAAGTATATAATATTAGGTCGTGCTATTTTTCTCTAATTTAATACTGTTAATTAATACCAACTCTTTTGCTTTCATTCTCTGCCTTTTAACGTGTCCTGCAATGTCACAGGTATTATATTTCAGGATTTAGTGCAAAAACAAATACTGTCTACAGTGATAGTGTGTCTTCTAGCATGGACATACTACCGACACTACGCCATTACTTTGAAGCTCCAAGTCTTCTACTCAGGTAGCGCCTGCGTGGCGACAAGCATTTTAGCTGATGCCTCGCCCTTCATTTCCATGGTAAGCATTTGAAGTCAAAAATATGTGGTAAAAATCCCTATTTTTAGCAAAAATGTGGAAAGTTTTTCTCATTAAAAAAAATCCCAGATTTAAGTCATTTCAGGTTGAAACACCAAACCAATTTAAAGTTGAATTAAATAAAAAATAATATGTAGCGGCAAAAGCAATGAAAATTAGCGAAGGAGAGTAATATGTTATATATATATTTTTACTTGAATTCAGATGGAGGTGATAACAAGTAAGAGCACGGCCTGTCTCTCCTCCTTCTCTCAGTCCTGCCTGAGTCTCTTGGTCTCTCTGGAGTGGCTGCTCTACGGGATTCTGGCCGAGGATATGGCTCTACAGGTAATGGATAAATGGAACTATAGGAAAGCACTCAGAGAACGCAGAACTCCGCAAAGACAAATAATTAACTATTCATTAACCATTAATTAACTTATGGATCATCATCAAAATCTAATCACTTTTAAGTTAGCCCAAAAAAAAAAGTCAATAAATTTTTATGCAAGTCTGGTGGCAGGCAAATGGAGGTGAAAATATAACATCCCTGGCGGAGGTAACAAATAAATAAATAAATAATGATGTGTGTTTGGATATGAAAAGATGGATAGATTAAAGTTATAGAGAATAACTGAATGGACATTTAAGTTGACGTGTAGGAGGTCACACATTCACGACCTTCAGTATTCGGAAGGCCGATCGCTAAAAAAAAAAAAAAAAACAAAAACGCCTGAACAATTCTTCTGACCGTATAATCGTTCTTTTATAGTTTTATCTTTCTTAGTAAACAATGTTAAATGCAAAGGCGTTTGATTTCGATGTTTACATAATCACTTAAATTTATTTTCTTATTTTTTCCAGATTACGTACCTAATTGGTGTTATTCTGAACGGTACCCTAGCCGGGCTTTACTTCATTTATCCCAAGGAAAAAGTTTCAACTGAGCAAGAACTTTATCACAGAGACAACAGAGACAGCAACAGCAACACATGATAAATAATTCTTATGTAACCTGCTTCTAGTTCCATTTACACAACGAACTCTGAGCCGTGATCGACACAAATTGTTCACGATTCAGGCAATATTGTCGGAAAGATAAAAGAGATGTACTGCATTATAGCATTATTCAAATAATGTGCGATCAAGTTAATTAATTAAATGCTTTATTTACCTCAGGGCTGATCTCCTGAAATGTTAAATTAAAACATGGCGGTTTAAATATACTGGGGTATCCATGTATATAACTGGCTAGTAATGTAGAACTAAATCATGATCCTTCAATTAGAATGGTAAAAAAAAAAAAAAAAAAAAAAAACATCAAACCCAGGAGTTGCAGGAAGGGATTGAACAATGATTCGCGAGTGGGAAAATCTTTTCTTTTTTTCGAAAAACTTTTGATTTGGCGTGGAAATTTAATGTGACGAGAATGAACAAAAGACAATGAAATTAAAATTAAATTATGCTCAAGTGCATACGCTGCATCAAATACGGTAGATATACGAATTCAGATATCATATACTTTCCATGATTATTTTCCATTGAATTGTAACAAAACAAATACTGCGAAGCCTCACCCTACTGCAGGGGGTACATATTATAAAATAAATCAGATAGAAAAAAACAATGGTGTGCATCCTTTCTAAATATTGTTGGGAAAAAACTGGCTTCATATGAAGCTATCTGATAATGACTTCTCGACACTTTTTTTTTCTAATTTTGCTACTGTACTGAGGGGGAACGAACAATGGCTTCTGTCGGCTTTTGGGGTCCATAGATCCAGTCTTCCAATCAGCTTTTTGCATGACAACCACTTTTCGGCTGTACATATGTTATCAGCTACGTCACAACATCTATGGTAATCTTGCTATAAAACCCAGTCTACTTGTTGCAACTGACATAAGAACAGTTCTCTGCATGCATGCATGCAGTGGTGTGACTGGTTCTCTGTCACTTGAGTCCCCTTTGTGGACAGAGAGGAGGTAACGTGGAAGATGCTGGCGTGTCCAAACCTCAAGAAGCCTAGAGTGACGGCATTCTAGAAATATGGTAAGTGACTGCCTTTCTACTTCTCCTCGTGTGTGTGTTTTTATTCACCTATTTTTTATAGGTCGCAGTGCCACCAGAAGAACTTTTTTTTTAATTATATCGTTAAAACGCTGCGCTGTGTCTCGTATATGTATGCTTACATAATTGCACGCTCTTTGGCCTTGGTTAGATAAAAAATTAGATATCTTTTTCCTTGGTAAAGTCTCGTAGGTTAGATTTTATTTAAGGTAGTGTCCTTATGGCCTTATGCTACACTGCACAACAGCATCGAACATTAACGTCTTTTTTTTGTCGCCCATTGCGTCAACAGCTAGTGTTGGCGATCGCAGTCTAGCTATATACGAAAGTTGAAGAAAACAGGCTGGCTAAAATTGCCTCACAAATACTTTTCAATAAATGTTAATGACCATGAGGTAGAATACTGAGTAAGCCTTAGAAAAATTGGACACTGAACAGGGTTCAATTTAAAATGACGCACATACACACGTTAGATACTCTTGGGGCTACATATGCGTTATGTGAAGTCGAGAAGGTCTGATGGGGTCGAATCGGCAAAAAAGTTGATTACTGATCCGCTGTTATTAATTTCCCTTTTATTTCTACCTCTGCCAATCTATAGTGGCCTTCTTCCCGTTTACATTAGATCCCGCTGCTTACGTATTATGAGGACATGTAAATCAATTCAGTTACTTCACAAAAAAAATTCCCGCTCCTTATTCACTCGTGGCTATCAATTACTAACATCACATTTGTTATTTATTTTTATTATTTTTATTATTATTATTATTATTATTTATTGCGGTTCAAGTACATTTTTTACAATGACTATGACCTAACAGTATACATAATATAATCATATAACTAAAATTACAATAGTAAATTACAATATTGTTTATACAATAACTGTGATCAGATTTTACAATTGCAGTATACGTTCAGTTACTTTGGTTGACTAGGTGGTGGTTGGTTATTAGGGTTTACTAGTTTATGCATTCACTATAAAACTTAGAAAACCGAAAATATTTTGATCATCGCTGACTTCAAGATTCTCAGTAAATGTTGACATACTGAAACAAAGAGAAATTAATATTCCAGATGGTCGTGTGGAGCGATGGTCTAAATGGTTGCCTGGCGACGAGTGTCACTGATAAACGGGATAAAGACTGACCACGAGCTGAACAAACAAAGCCACCTGGATAGTTTGTTTGCCTTGATAAATGTAAGTTTATTACATGTAGTTTATGAATTAAATTTATCGCCGAGGGCAATAAACACGCCATTTTTACTGTGAAATCGGATTTTCTTTAATTGTCTTTTGTGCAAAAAAGATTAAAATGAGTAAATCGTTTCTAGGGACTAAGGGCTCTCATTCCCAATCATAGGCTCTATTCCCACAACTTTAGATCGATCTATCACCGCGGGGAGTCTCACTAGATTACTGTCAGATAATCCCCCTTAAGTGTCCGTCCCCGCCTACTACAAGCTGTAAGGGGTAATTAACTTTCGTGTCCGCCCGGCAGACAGCTATTTAGCGTGAACCCCCAGGGAGTTAGGTCGATCTAAAATAGGTCGATCTAATCTATGGAAATGGGGTGATACTCTCGTTCTACGGAGATCGATCCAACTCCGCGGGGACTCTCGCTGAATGCAATCAGATTAACATGCCTTCTCTTGTTTCCAACGTGCTCGTATAATCACCAGCTTTTCTGTTTTCTACTCAATGGCAGGATCACACATTCAGTGGCTACTGCCCTAGCCAAAGTCCTAGATGTTTTTTCGATTATCTTAATCCATTTAATCCACCTCAGTAGTTTTAGTCATTTAAAGAATTTTGAAGTCTCCTGATAATATCAGTATTGGAAATTTGGATTTTGACGTCCTGTGCCACTTACATATACATTTATATGGATATAATCACATGCCTTTTCACATTTGGCGGTTTGATTTTTGGATCACATAAAAAGTTGGTTAAATTAACACTTTATATATTTCCAGATAGGGATTATCAATAATAAAAGTCATTTTGAGAAGACTAAAAAGAAACTAATGAGCAATTTTCACAAGAATGGAGGCTATCAAAGTTTACGCCCATGGAGAAGAAAATGCCACAGCTGTATCCTGTATCCACTGCAGAGGTAATATGCCATGTTCCATGATTTTCAATTTTTGACTTCATGATAAATTTCATTTAAGTTTATATTGACACTACTATCAGTTTTGAAATAGAGCTTGAGCATGAATAACCGTGGACGAGAAAAGTTCAAACAGTCATACTTCTATTCTATTTACCATGTGCCCATTGACTTATTTTTCTTCTGGATAATTTGTTTGAAGAATTATATCACTATAAAATAGTCGCTCTAGATGCTAGTATCTGATTTATAAAGGAAAAACGTTACGAGGAAAAGAGACATTTTCTTTCTCGCCAATTTTCTAAACCTACTTCTAAACTTAGTTTAGTTTTTTTAGGAAAATGGACATCCGAAATTCGTTGAGGATGAACGGTACACCTGTCAGTCGGTGACAACAGAGACACTCCCTCAGACAGAAATACAATGCAGTTGAAGAGAATCAGACAGAAAGCACGGACCTGCCTCAACATAAGAGATCTTAAGAATGTGAACAATTAGCCTTGACATCATCACAATATGCACTCTTTCTCGTAGAATCCCGGATGATCAGATGAGAGTTAACTGACTCAAAGTACCAACAGGTATTTCGAACCCGACGAAAGAATTCTGTGCACCAGCAGCAAGGGCAGAGACAAGGAGGCTTGGTTCTCATAATCTTCAGGGTAATTACAATTTTCAGAACTAGGTACACGTTCTAGGAATTGTTCTGTAGTAAGGCGAACAACTTTTGCAGGGCTGATATTTTCCACTTTCCACGTTTTTATTATTTTTTTATGAAACCCCAAATAATTGTGCAAGATACATGTAACTGCGAGATTCAATTAGTGCCTTGCAGTAAAGTGGAAACAATCAAGCTTGAAGATGTTACACCATTTATGTAACCAGTACAGGTGCTCCATTATGTTGTAAACTTTGGAGGTACTCTAGGGCAGTGGTTCAGGGGATAGGGTGGGTGGGGCAGTTTTTTTTTTTTTTTTTCAAGTATCTGGATTCAAGAAATTCTAGTGGGTTTCTCCAACAAAAACATCATGTTTATCATGTAAGTCATGTGTATTATGTTTTAATCATTTCATTTAGAAACCACCTTGTCGTGTAGTAACATACAGACGCCAAATGGGTCTGAATGTTTGTTCATAAAAATCTGCTCACGCTCTGCAACACATGATCAGAGAGGTTTGCTGAAACAATATAGTGTGTCATTTTTCTACGAATCCAGATGGAGATAAGGCCTAGTGACCGCGCAAAAATTAACTATGAATCAAATTAAAAAATATACTCGAAATACGGACACCGTTGAATACTTTTAGTTTGAATAACGCGTAAATATTACCTTCCAAGTTTGTGGTCAAAATAGTTACGTGTAAATCGCTATGAACAAATCCAACGCTGACAACAATAGCTAGTTTCTAACATTTAATGTTCTCTCGTCGCTTCCTCCGGTACATTCTGACGTTATATTGAATATTGTGACGGGGGCTTTTACGTGTGATAAAAGCGCGTCACTGTAAAGTTATGAACAACTCGCTTTTTCCTGTGAAGGGAATTTTATTTTGCTCATACGGACTACATCAAGTTGAAGATGTGACCACGGTGTCTCTCCCTCAGTTTTCCCTTTCTATGGCTCGGATGCGCTACTACTTTGCCGACTCGCCGAACACCCCGAATGCGGCAAAATGCTGCCTTTTTATAATAATTAGGGCGACCGGTGGTTCACATCTCACGTCATGGATGGGAATTTTGATTCAACATTTTTTATTAGAAATACTGATTCTCGACCTTCGACTAAAATATTGTGATTTGCCCGGTTCTTTGATTTTTAATATTTAATTTTGACTGAACCGGAACTGGTCATTTTCCTGGGTCTAGCGAAGTGCTTATTAAATACTAATATACGACATCTAGAGATAATCAATTACACTTTCCTATATACAACCGCAGTTGCTCTGTCCACTTTGCTTGCTATTTAGGTGACGCATTTGCCGACCACTAGAGGTCATTAATTACGGTACCCTGGTTATTCGCTGGCTTGAGATCGGAAGGTTATTATGTTTGGTCAGTGCTTGAACGTCTAATGAGACTTTTGTTATTTCCGAGATCTTATTGTAACTTTTGAATTTTACCTGTTTTAAAACTTAAAACTTAAACTAAATTCTTACTAAAATTTGTAACACTACCGTGTTATATAACCTTTCGTCCTCGAAGAATTTGGCTCCGTCCAAATCGATAATACAGAGAACAAGCAATATTACTTAATAATTGTAGGGTTTATTTCTCTCAAAAAGGCAAGGTGGAAAGGGGGTATGGTGGCAAAGTTGTTTAAAGTAAAAAAAAGAAATCAATGTTTGGCACAAAAAATAATGCGGAAAACAAAATAATAAAGATAACTGCAGTCTCTTCCATGAAAATCTGACATAGTCTGTTATTCTAGATCTGGAAGATCATCATCCTCTTCCATCCCAGCGGGTATGAGTCTGGCTCCGGGTGGAATTGGTTCATACGTTTCCTCCTCTGATGTAGACACCTCATCGGCTCCGACTGGGTGTTTGTATGGGATTATAGGTGTATTGTGACGGGGGCTTCTACGTGTGATAAAAGCGGGTCACTGTAAAGTTATGAACAACTCTCTTTTCCCTCTAAAAGAAATTTTATTGTGCGCACACGGACTACATCAAGTTATAGATGTGACCACAATGTCTCTCCCTCAATGTCTCCTTCCAACGGCTTGGGTACGCTGTTATTTTCCCGACTCGCCGAACACCTCGAATGCGGCAGAATGCTGCATTTTTATAACAAAATTAGGGCGACATGTGGTTCACATCTCACGTTAAGGATGGACTTTGGTGCAATGTTGTTAAAGTAAAAGAAAAAGAAATCAACGTTTGGTAAGAAGGTAAATCATGCAGAAAAATGAAACAATAATGACAACTACAGTCTTTCGTGACAATTGTATATAGTCCTTAGGCTTTCTTCAATTCAGATCTGGAAGGTCATCAGCGTGATCGTCATCATCTTCCATCCCCGCAGGGATGAGTTTCGCTCCGGGGGGGGGGATAGGTTCGTAGCTCTCGTCGTCTTCCGATGCTGACTCCTCATCGGCTCCGACTGGGTGTTTATATGGGACAATGGGTGTATTGTCCTCAGCATCCCAGTCAGAGTCCGATGAGTAAATCAGTCTCTGGGCGGTTCTTCTTGGTGTTGGGGACCGCAGGGTTTCACTGGCGGCACTTTGAATGATGGCAGCATATCTTGCCTGTCTTTGTGATAGGCGTTCGTCGTTGCCGTAAAAGTGCACTTCCAAGACATTGGTGAAGGTGGCGGCCCTGTCCTGCTGCTCTCTTATGCCTAGATAGCTGCTGGAACTGCACAAGTGAATGCGGGTTCGTTGGCCTGGCATTGGATCACTCATGCCCTGTTGAAATAGAAATATGAGGCCCAAAAGGTCACCAACCGCCTCGTCTGGTCTTGGCATATTATCTCTTCCCAGGAATTGGGCTGTTGATTGGGGCATCCAATCATCTACAATTAGCAGATTTGGTCTTCTCTGGCGTACCAAATTGACCATGTCGTAGAGGTTTTCTGTATTTACTAAGGTGGTCATGGGGCGGTATCTGACGAGATCCGCGCCCTCAAAGTCGCTGTCTCTGTCCAGTTCCATTCAGCTTTAGTATAGCGGCGGCTAGTATCAACACTTCCGTGATGAACAACTCCCTTCCGATGCTGAAGGGGGCTTTGGTGCAATGTTGTTAAAGTAAAAGAAAAAGAAATCAACGTTTGGTAAGAAGGTAAATCATGCAGAAAAATGAAACAATAATGACAACTACAGTCTTTCGTGACAATTGTATATAGTCCTTAGGCTTTCTTCAATTCAGATCTGGAAGATCATCAGCGTGATCGTCATCATCTTCCATCCCCGCAGGGATGAGTTTCGCTCCGGGGGGGATAGGTTTCGTAGCTCTCGTCGTCTTCCGATGCTGACTCCTCATCGGCTCCGACTGGGTGTTTATATGGGACAATGGGTGTATTGTCCTCAGCATCCCAGTCAGAGTCCGATGAGTAAATCAGTCTCTGGGCGGTTCTTCTTGGTGTTGGGGACCGCAGGGTTTCACTGGCGGCACTTTGAATGATGGCAGCATATCTTGCCTGTCTTTGTGATAGGCGTTCGTCGTTGCCGTAGAAATGCATTTCCAAGACATTGGTGAAGGTGGCGGCCCTGTCCTGCTGCTCTCTTATGCCTAGATAGCTGCTGGAACTGCACAAGTGAATGCGGGTTCGTTGGCCTGGCATTGGATCACTCATGCCCTGTTGAAATAGAAATATGAGGCCCAAAAGGTCACCAACCGCCTCGTCTGGTCTTGGCATATTATCTCTTCCCAGGAATTGGGCTGTTGATTGGGGCATCCAATCATCTACAATTAGCAGATTTGGTCTTCTCTGGCGTACCAAATTGACCATGTCGTAGAGGTTTTCTGTATTTACTAAGGTGGTCATGGGGCGGTATCTGACGAGATCCGCGCCCTCAAAGTCGCTGTCTCTGTCCAGTTCCATTCAGCTTTAGTATAGCGGCGGCTAGTATCAACACTTCCGTGATAAACAACTCCCTTTTTCCTGTGAAAGGAATTTTATTTTGCTCATACGGACTACAGCAAGTTGAAGATGTGACCCCGATGTCTCTCCCTCATTCTCTCTTTTCTGTGGCTCGGATACGCTTCTATTTTCCCGATTCGCCGACCAGTCATCGATGATAACGAGGTGAGGACGACGCTGGGCACCAGGTCGGTCATCTTCTTTAGCATGACCGTGTTCACTATCGCCATAGGATCATTTTCTTCAGCACAGTGGCTGCTTGTATGAGAACTTGCATGATGATTATGTCTGGTTAAATGGTATCTGCGTGAGATGAATGAACGGTGCTTTAAAATTACGTATTGCATCAATATACTAGAGATATGACTACATTAGTAAATTGATGAGGTATCATTTAGATATAACTTCTCAGTGAAATAATAACTTGCATTGGAATACGTCTTGTGGACATCTGTGCTCTGATCTAAGTCGGCTGGTTTAATTACAGCTGTCATTTTGCTAAGCGTCCATTTCAACTACATATAGAAACTTAAGTAAATGTTTAATAGTTTGAAAATACAACATTGATAATAACATGTCTAACTAATTATCCTTCTCATCGGAGAAGTTCTTTGTCATCAGTCCTTGATATTACATCGACATCATTCATTGCATTTAAAAATTTGCTTTGTGCAATTGGTCTGGTAACATTTTCTCAAAACTACCCTGGTTCATTCAGTAGCAATAATCTTAATCTTTACGTCAACACAAGATCAAGCATCTGAGTGTTCTTTTGTTTGTAGGGTTTATTCCTCTCAAAAAGGCGTGTGTGGGTGGGAAGGGGGTATGGTGGCAAATTTGTAGAAAAAAAATCAATGGTGGTGGCGAAAAGTTAGGAGGAAAATAAAATAAGAACAATAATGGTAATAATAGTCTTTTCCTTCAAAATCTGACATAGTCCCCCATGTTTATAGTTCGTTATTCCAGGTCAGGAAGATCATCTTCTTCCATCCCTGCGGGAATTAGTCTGCTCCGGAGGGAATCGGTCTGTATGCCTCTTCTTCTGATTCTGATTCCTCATCGGCTCCGACTGGGTGTTTATATGGGACTAAAGGCGTATTGTCCTCGGCATCCCAGTCAGAGTCCGATGAGTAGACCAATCTTTGGGCTCGTCTGGGTGGTAGTCTTTGGGCCTCCTGCCTGGCAAGGGACATCAGGTTGTCACCGGCGGCAACCCGAATTATTTCCGCATATCGGGCTTGCCTCTGCGATGGGTGTTCGTCTATCTTGTAAAAATGTACTGCCAAGTCTCGGGTAAAGGTTTTGGCTCTCTGCAGCTGCTCCCTAATGTCTGGATACGTGTTAGAACAGCATAGGTAAATGCGGGTGGTTTGGCCTGGTACCGGGGTACTCATATTTTGGTGGAAGATAAACATGAGGCCTAAGAGGTCACCAACTGGATATTCTGTATTGACCATGATGGTCATGGGGCGGTATCTGACCAGATCCGCGCCCTCAAAACCTTTCTCTCTTCCAAGTCCCGTATCAATGTAATGAAGCATATGCTTCAGTATAGCGACGGCTAATATCAACACTTCCATGATGATCACGTTTGTGTGAAGGGGTATCTGCTGGAGATGAATGACACTTCAGAAAATAATCCGAGGAAGCCGTTTATGGATTCTAATTGTCCTGGATAAAGCCCTTTTGGTTGATATGTCTCTGGCCTACTAGGTCAGTCAGATCTGCCAAGTATTTTCGTTGGTACTCGTCTTTCTTTCTGTCAATATTTTAATGTTTTTTCTTTCTATCAATATTTTAATCTTGCCAATACTTAAATTTTGATTTGACTGAAACTGGTCATTTCCTGCAATCGCGGAAGTGCTGGCTAAACATCCCCTGACAATCAATTCTTCCGCCAATCTTTGATCCTTGTCCAGAATCGCGCAAATAGATATGCATGTAATTTAGAAATGGGCTCGAAATACGGAAACCGTTAGTTCGGATAACGCGATAATATTACCTACCAGGTTCGTGGTCAAAATAGTTACGTGTAAATCGCTATGAAGAAATCCAACGCTGACAACAATAACCAGTTTCAATCATTTAATATTCTGTGACGGGGGCTTTTACGGATGATAAAAGCGCGTTACCGTATAGTTATGAACAACTCTCTTTTTCTGTGAAAGGAATTTTATTTTGCTCATACGGACTACATCAAGTTGAAGATGTGACCCCTCAGTCTCTCCTTTCTAAAGCTGGGATACGCTTCTATTTTCCAGACTCGCCGACCAGTCATCGATGATAATGAGGTGAGAACGACGCTGGCGCACCAGGTCGGTCATCTCCTTTAGCATGACCGGTTGACTATCGCCATAGGGCGATACCGGACCATGTCCGCTCCTTCGAAGTCTCTCACCGAGCTTTCCTCCCCATCCATATGATGGATCATGTTCTTCAGCATAGTGGCTGCTAATATCAAAATTTCCATAATGATGGGCGATACCGGATCACGTCCGCTCATCGAAGTCCCTAACCCAGCTTTCCTCAGCATCTTCATGTTCTTCAGCATAGTGGCTGCTTATATCAAAACTTCCATAATGATGGCGTAAATTCGATCTGCGAAAGATGAATGAATTGTGCTCGAAAAGTCAGTTTGTTCTTCCGGCAAATTTAACCCTCGCTGATTTGCGTCTCTTTATGCTCTATAATCTTGCACGGGCTGAGCCTGTTTTTGGCGGCGTTGAAATAAATTGGACACAGTAGCCCATTTTGTCCCCGAAAAGTGTCATTTTATCTTATGCATCTTGCACTTCACAAGTCTAATGTTCAAACTTGTAGACTTTTGTAAAAGTCGGGTTTTAATAAGCAGGTTTGCGACTGTGTGATTTTATTTGCTTTAGCAGAAGGATACCCAGTAGTAATGTAAGAAAATAAAGAGAATTAAATCATCCACCCGAATTCTAATTTTCAGATAAGCGTATGCATGTTTTGAGTGTGTTCATTACATTTGGCGTCTGCATGTTTCACAGCTTTGCTGTCTTTTCATATAAGAATGTATCTCATCTTGTAGTGTCATGTATCGTAAAATGGATACATGAGAATGGACATATGTATCGTCCGAAAAAAAAATTACGAATTTTGTTTTGTGTATTTGTGTAGGAGCACCGGCGGTCCGCCCTTGCTCTGTTTGTGAGATGAAGGTCAGTGCTTTCCAAGGTATTCCTTATTTTTACTTGAGTATTGGTTTGGTCTTATTATTATATTATGTAATATTGTTTAAATTATCGACTAAGTGCCGATACAATAATACTTTACTCAAAATATGGTCCTATAACGTAATAATTAATACTCGTGCGTGAAGGTATGTGTGTAATAGACATACTTTCTGATGTATTATCTGATAACGAGCGAGTTACCAGTAAAATAAGGTAATTGATGTTATCATAATTTGATTCACTCCAGAGCATAATGATATGACTAATGGACTTAGAAAAGATAAATGTGCTAATTAAACATTGTAATATTCTCTGGTGTGAATTGCAATTTGTAGTTAATTGTATTGTTAGATTGTCACTTGTTCATCGAGTTAAAAGAATATAGTCTATGCATTGTAAGTTCCAATTGTCTCGCATTTTCATTTGAATTATTATTTTTTTCATATTAAGTGAAATAAAGACAAATATTTTAAGAAAGAGGAGCAGTGTTATTTATATGGGGTGACTTCGTACACCAGAATGCTTGTCTTTATCTTCTTTCTACGTCCAAGAAGCTTTATTCACAAAGAAATAAGCTTTGGCTGTAAAGTTCTGAAGCTTTTTTTGGGGGGGGATCGGTTTGCCTTCAATGCATGTAATGTAAAATACGTCTGAATGTGTTCTGGCCACTACTGACCATCACAATTTGGTTTAAAAATTCAGTAAAAAGACCTATAAAAAATGAAAGGCAACTCAAGTATACGTTGTATACTAAACTTAGTAATTGACTTTAGACTATGCATTACTCGTATGTCAAAAGCGAGTTGCGTCCTTTCTACGCAATAAACTATCTTTGTTGAAATTACTTTTTATTGTACTATCAAACTGCAAAGATTACACCCCGGACTATATGCGAAAGATGGGTCTTAAAATTGTTTTAAACGAATAATTACTCATATTGTTTATGATTTTAGAACACTGTAAAATGACGTTTTGTAACCATTGAAAAATGCAAGCTTTCAGGAAAATGTGCACAATATATGTAAATTTCAAATTTCCCTGCATATTTCATTATTAAAATTCCCAGGGCGTACACTTCTATTGTATAAAACTATTCTTCTCGTGAACTTAATAAAATGCCACACGATTGATTTTGTTTTTATTCATTCTCAGTTAAAGTAATGATAACAAGTGCGTAAGAACGTGACGCTTCGGAGAGTGGTTTTTTGAAGGTGTCACAGTTTTCGTTTCTGTGATACCTGTTTTATTTCTAGCTATAGGTGTGGCTTATTGGAAATAAGGCTTCTTGAAATGGAATTTGATTGCATCTCTTAATAATTCTCAGAAAATATCAAGCGTCAACGCCATTCATTCAACACTATATTCAAGAAAGTTTTTCGGAGCACTTCATTTTAATTTTTGTTCATGAAGAATGTAAAAAAATCGGTAGAAAATAAGAGCTTTCACCAATAAATATCTTATCTATGTCCAGCATAAAAATTAATTAGTTTAAACAGTGTAAACGTGGTATACCGGTATATCCAAGTTGTACAGAGCGTATCTATTACAAAGCATGTTTTACTATAAAACTAAAGATAGACCTACCTCCTGTGCATTTACTTTAGGGTTATTCTGTAAATTGTGAATTGTAGGCAGTTAACTGTTGAAAGCGTCCAACTTTTTTGACGGCAAAAATCAATACGTTTTGTTACCGAAGAGAAAGTTGTTACGATTTGTTATAGGCTACAAATAGACAAAATAATGAAGAAGGACAGCTCCAACATATTGATAAGGCTGGAAGGTGGGGGTGGGGGTGATTCCTTATTGTCTGCTGACAAGAAAGTATTGAAAAGACGACAACATTTCAGGCAAATTCGTAATACTGTGTGAGTAAATCATTCTTCAGTTTTGTTGAGTCCATCATTTCTCTCTGGAAATCCTCCTCCCTCTGTTTCCGCTCTTGCTAAGTTTCTCTCAAGAGCAGCGGCTTTGATCGTGATTAATATGACTGAAGACCAATGAAAATACTTTTCATTTTAAATATTGAAGTTAATACATCACGCTGAGTAAGTGGAAGTTTTGGGTCTCAGAGGCCCCAGCGTATGAGCTGGAAAAATCTTCACGGCAGTCACCTTGAGGGGGTCGCTATATCTGACCTTGACCTTGGTCATCCCTCCCCTCCCTCCTCACACGCCTGTGATATACTCATCATAGACGCTATCTTTGACGATTTTCTTCTCCTCTGAGGCGTCATCACGGAGCCCCTATTTATATTAAAATGCTTTAAAACATTGGTGAAATCTTTGCTCTTTCGACTTTGCTTTCCACCCATGAGTAACGGCAGGGGTCCAATGGTGCCCGCCACCACCCCGTTCCGACGGTTGCGAATCCGACTGAAAGTGGAGCCACTGGACGACCTGCGCAAAACGGAGGCGCTGCTGGAGTTCAAGTCACAATCATTACTGTTGGCAGACGATCTCCTTTCCGCATCGCTTAGATCCGGATCGGAAGAAATATTACGGAAATAGTTTTCCTCGCACATGGATACATTTTCGTCAAACTCCGATTCTTCTGCTAACATTTCCTGATTCTTAGTGTTCAAATTGATGTTGGTTGGAAGACTTTCAGCAGAAGCTTCCAGCTCTGGGCAGGGAGTCTGCTTGTTTGTCCTATGCAGACGCTCGAGCCTAGCTAGCACCGCCAGCATTGATTCATTCGGCAGAGACGTGCTCTTCTGTACGGTAGGTGGCTTGTCTGTTTGGGGCGTTAAAATGTCCTCAGCACTCATTTGTTTGACAGCCCCATTAGCTACGAGGGTAGGGGAAATTTTTGTAGTTGCTAGGAAAGAATCACCAATTTTATCACTGTCTGTTGTGCCCTCGTCATCTTCTTGGTCAGATTCTGATACATCTGCCTCACAACTGGGGGACATGTTGCGATTACTGCCAGGAGTGCTGAGCCCTGAATAGGCGGTTTTGACGTCATCCTCATTCTGGACGTCATCAGACACCGTGACGTCATGGTCTTTGCCAGATTGTCCGCTGCAAGGAATTATGTTCACAACTGGTAAACCTTCATGTAATTGAAATTTATCTTGTCTGTATCTTTTTGTCAGCCCTCCCTCGTATAACTTCAGCCTGTCAAGCGCAAGTTCATAAAGAATCCTAACGTTGCTCACCTCAAGCTCCAGTTCTTTCAAGTCTGCCTTCGCATAGGTTGCAATATCCATATCATGAATCCGCCTTTTCAAAGAATTCTTTTCATCATTTAGTTTGTTTGTTCTTTTTGCTAGTTCCACATTATTAGCGCGCACATTGTCTAATTCAGTTTTAATAGTTTCCAACGAATCCTGTAACATTTTTGTCGTCTGCAAATGCGATTTTTGTACCAGCTCTTTCTCCCGCCGGGCACGCTTTGCCATTGTTTCAAAATGGGACGCCTTGCGTTCCAAAGTGTGAACCCGTCGTTTAAACAAATCAACCATCCGGTCTACTTGAAGCAGACACCCTTCCTCGCATTTCGCACAGTAGTTCAGTAACTCCTCTTTCCTTTGTTTTTCTCGAAGGAGCTTTTCGTGAAGCATTTTCACAGTATTTGCAAGTTTGTAAATCTTGCTCTGCTGTTCTTCTTCCAGAAACTCCTCTCGGTGCGCATGCGTATTTGGTGCGTCCACTGGCCATAACGTCATAGAATATGAATATTTCCTCCCTCTGTACTGTGGTGAATGCTCACTACTGAATGAGTCAGTGGAACTGTTCAGGTCTTGCGATTTGCGCCTTTTCGCCACCTTGAAGAAAGAGCCGATCCTCTCCTTAATTTCTGTGATTTCGCGAAAATCTTCTGCGAAAGAAAAATTCTCGGTGGGCTCCTCAGAATTGTCGAGAGCAATGGGCACGGTCTTCGCAATTTGCAACTTGCACTCGGTCTGCACGCTCGTGGGACTAGAACACATACTTGGTGCGTCACCTGGAGAATAAAACAGTGGTTGTGTCTGGTTGAGCAAGCGCAATGATACGGCACAACTATCACAATCGCATCAATGTACTTGTGCGATTGACTGAAGAAATTTTGAAAAAAAAAAAAAGGCACCCTTATGTCTAGTTTTGTTAAATGAACCGGAACTGACATACTTGAAATTGCACGTGCCATTTCTAAGATAAAGTATAAGACTTAATAACATCCTAAAGGTCAAATGGCTGCTGGTATTATAACCATTCAGCATACTGAAATTTACAAACTCCAAATCCGTTCAACGACTAAATTAACGTGAGGCAAACTTGGACAAGTCATTGGATTATCAAAATAATACAAGGAAAGTAAAAAAAAGTCAACACAAAGCCTTTTCCGTAAGTTTGCAGTGGACCGCTTTAGTTGCTGCACTAAATACGTGTATGTGTCATTTTTGGAAGAGTTAAGTACCCAAGATATAAAATTATAAAAATATCAGACTTAGCTTAGCAAGTTCAAATGCAAGGCACACATATTGAAACGCCAACATCCCGCAACCCTTACCTATTTCAACGTTATTCCGCAGTGTACTGGGCAGTTCTTGAATACTTGACAAAATGGCTGGGAAAGTTGGCCTCAGCTGCGTTTCCTGTAAAAAACGAGCACATATTTCATTGCCGAATGCTGCCAAAAGTGACTTATGTAAAACATCATTCTGCTCTTATGAAATGGAACGAGGTTGTGGAATCGGAATCACTGGTTTGTTAAAACGAGGGATGGGTGTAAGTAAATACAAGTCCACGGTCTCTTTTATCTCCCTGAAAATAAGACATGCGTCTTGTTTGCACAGCTGTTTAACATAGCGCATCGATTTTTCGTGATTATGTCCTAAACTTACATGTTTGAGAAGCTAAAAAAATACAATGCTTATTTTCTCGCCCGTGTGGTTTCTCCCACAGACAGCTTGCACTAACAGAGTTGTGGCTCAGATTAAACAACCAAACGAGACTGAATATTTCGACGGTCTTGTCTGTTTATTGTTTCAACATAATAAGAGTACAAGGTGCTTTAAAGCCAATTACTTTAGGCTCATAAGGTCAAACTGAGAGGGCGATCAATATATATGCTAATTAAACCGTTAATTATAGTATCAATCAAAAAGAGGCATTCCTAAATCTTATAAGTAAACTAAAGTCAATGTATACCGTTGCGATTGCCTGATACTTCATAAGCCCTATTCCACGCAATGCAGTGGTATGGATATGTATTATTCTATTCAGACATCTCTCTTATGAATAATGAGAATAATTATTTTGAATCGTATGCCTGCGATGCGTGCTTTGTATGTCTCCCTACACACCGATAGACTATGAACTAAAATGATAACGGAGGAAAGAAAGCAATTACGTTGCGTTACCATTTTGCCCAAGTACTCTAAAACTCAAAACTGATCGAATATTTTTCAACCCCTTTCTTGAATAAACATTCCAGAATCTTGACAATCCCTGTTTTGTGTAAATACACTACCACACTTCCTCCAAAAATGTGGGTTCGACAGTTGCCTTGAAATTCAGGGTCTGGCTAATGTGACGTCAAGAGGGAGGAAATATCATCACTAAGCACCTGCATTGATGAATAGCTTTCATAGATAATATAATATATCAACAACACATCTCAATACGCATGAAGATGACCATCCACGTCCACAGCCAGTGTGACAGAAATGGTAGTCCTAGGAGTCGAATTTCAGGGTCCTATATGATTAAAATTAAGGGTTAGGCGGACGTATCGCGGAGAGAACAGTCTGTACAAAGTAATAAGGAACGTAGTACGGTTCGTAGCTGTCACACCGGGCAAAATTATATGACGCCTCGAGACGGCCAGATAAAACAGGAACCCGTACCCATCGTTACTTGGAAATTGGTCATGATGAGGGATGACGCCAGATAAGTTCCGGTAAAGTTTATTCTGTTGATAAGGTGGCTTTTATCTTTTCAACTCCAGGGCCAAGGGGACGAATTTGTGACGAAAAAAAAAAAAAAACTCTCGCTCCCTCTTCTTTTTCGGCAAAACCGGAGGTCAAATTAATAGATTACAGATTTAGCATACTGCATACATGTACTAGTGCTTTATTCAAGTGCATTTAACAGAACATTTTATGTCACCCCTACATCAAATTTATACCCTGTGTGGTCTCAAAATTTGATGTTTTTTTTCAACTAATGAAACTGAATGTTGAAACAAATCATAGTGGAGTCTTACTAAGGAATTCAGCCTCATTGTACTGTAACTCTGATGAAAACAATTCGCCTATTGTGAAAGGATATTTATATCTTCATTAGCTATTAGGTATTATAAATTAATGTTTCATCAACTAACGCGTCTTAAAATATCACTGTAATTCCATACCTCTCTCCATTTGTCTCCAATTTCTCCCCCACCCAACGTGAGTTTTCCGGCTTAGGGACTGCTTGACGTCAAATAGGGCTTTTAATAAATTCTGGGTGATTGACCTCCCTCCCCGTGACAACCCTCTTGGTAACACGTCCACAGCAACGGAAAATGTTTAAAGTGATTCTTCATATAAAATAAATTTGATACTTTGTATATCTGGAATGCTATTTCTTTTGATTTCCCGAGGTTTTATTGGCTAGCAATGGACGTAAAGGTCTTCTCCCTGTGACAACGCACATCTTACCTGACAACAGCAAGCTTGGATGACCTGCTTCACACTGGACGCTAGAGCCTCAGGTACCGCTGACCATGTCCAATCCTTCAGCTGCAGAACGAAAGAATAATCTATTTGTAAAAATCCTGCACAATTTATCATGATATTCAGTAATTCTTAAATAATTTATGTAACTGCCTCCACAGATGATGGCTACATTAAAGGATCCCGATTTAGTATTCAGCATAATTGAGATGTCGCAGGTGCTTCATTGCAATACCAGTAGAAATGATAGGTAAAATACTATGTGCTATACCAGCTTTGCCCTATGACCATAATGTAATATGCATTTTCAGAAAAGCGCGAGTAATATATAATGCGTGCTGTTTCATCTTTGGTCCATTGCGCTAAATGTATATTATTGGCCTGAAATATTTTATGCTTGACTTGATGCATTAGTTATTGACATCAGGGGAAGTTTTCAATTCCTGGAATGAAATAGATTTGTTTTCATTTCTGTATTCCCCGTTTACTCTCTCTCTCTCTCTCTCTCTCTCTCTCACACACACACACACACACACACGCACGCACGCACGCACAGATCCATTGCTTCTTCAATACATCGAAAGGATGAAAAACATGTACCACAGTAGACATATTATACTTCTGTTAAGTGGCGCAACTTAATAAAAAGCAAAAGAGATAAAAAAAGGCTGTTTTTCAAGTCAGTTTAAGGAGATCTATTTTGGTACGGCCGCAGAAGGCCAACTATCTACCATTGGAACTGACTTGGTTTCTTCTGGAAAACAATATAAAGGCATGTAACCTATCCCAAGTGCTATGGCGGTGGGATGGACAGCAGAAGGACTAGATTTGCTGCCCACTGTTAGCTTATCATAAAGAGGAGACCTTCAAAAGGACTATTTTTAAGGAATTTTGTCTATCTAGATAAAGCGCACTAACTTTACGGGAACTTTTACTGAATGCTACATGTATCAGATTAACAGACTAACACCCCATTCTCATAGATTAGATCGACCTACATTGGATCGACCTAACTCCCTGGGGGTTCACGCTGTCAGCCGGGCGGACACGAAAGTTAATTACCCCTTAAAGCATGTAGTAGGCGGGGACGGACACTTAAGGGGGATTATCTGACAGTAATCTAGTGAGACTCCCCGCGGTGATAGATCGATCTAAAAGTTGTGAGAACAGAGCCTAACACTCCTCTTCTTGTTTCCAACGTACTAGTATAATCACCAGTTCTTCTGTTTTCTACTCGACTCACATTAACTTTACGGGGCCTTTTGCTGAATGCTATCAGATTTTAAAACAAAGTAACACGCCTCCTCTTGTATTATCGCCAGCTTTTCTGTTTTCTACTCAAGAAGTTTGTCCGGATTAGCTAGGTAGGCAAATTTTCTTTGTGAACGGTCCAAAAAATGTACCGTTTCAAAATGCCTCGACACAGGCTGACTGGAAACACGACTTGCAGTATTCACACATGATGTGCTCCGCGTCCTATTTACAGGATACACACCAACCCTGTGATCATCAAACCGCTTCCAAATGGAGCACATTAAGTTGATTTATAACGTAACTAAAATTCCTCAGTCTATTTTTATTCTAGTAAGTCTTTGTATAATTTTGTAAACAATACACTTGAAGAGGAAACTGCAAAATTTACGTCAAACATAGCTTTTTTTCTACTTTATTTGCTATTCAGTACTAACACTTCAATCACAAGTGCTCTAAAATAGACTAAAAACTGCAATCGTGCATGTTGATACATAATATCATCACTGATGTTTTATTCCATCACGTTGTGTTGACCGCAATGGGAGTGTGGTCACTGTTGACCAATTTGGACCGACTCTGAACTCCTTCTCAATGAAGCTAACACGGTGCAACAGTAATCCAAGTCCTAAAGGAACCGTGGCCCTACAGTTTCTAGTAACAGTGGTCCTGTATATAGGACCACCATTACTTAGGACCAGCAGTCCTGCCAGAGAGGGATACTCTGGCATTTTACCGACCAATGCGGGGTTTGTGGTTGTGGTTTGACAGATCACGCGGAACCTTGAACGTCATTCGGGGCTCTTAAGGAGAGGTTTGTATAAGGCACCTTTTAGCTATACATTGTAGTACCCCATCTATATGAAGCACTAAATGGTAGCGTAATATGTCAATGAATCCAAGGTTCATATAATAATTATCAATCCTTATATCAACGCCACTGGCGAACACAAAATTTCAAATAGAGATAGCATTCATTTCTCTTGTATGCATCCACGAATACATCAAGAATTTAGCCTTCAGGCCTCTATTTTTACTCGACAAATCAGTTAGCTGTTGAGTCTTGAGAGTTGTGCATATGAGCTGAAATCAATATTTAATTACTAGAAATTAAAAACTTATTTAGCAAGAAGGTAGTAAGTTTTCTTCTCTTGGAAACCGTTCCTTTTTGTTCTCAGTACGTATTAAAGAGGATACAAATTTACTATCAAAAACACTAGTTCGATTTCACACATCCGGTTCGACTTTAAGTTACTAAAGCTAGGTTTAGTCAAGAAGTTATAACTTCTTGGTTTAGTCTTGTCTTAACAGTATAACTTTTCACTTTTACACATCGGAATTCTAACATACAACAAGCAGGTGCGGATCCAGAGATATTTTCTGACAGTCTTCCAAGTTATCTTTGTTGATCCATCCTCCATTTTTGACCGTCTTCCGATAGAAAATATTACATGCCCGACAATATAAACTTGAAAATCTGACCGTCTTCCGGAAGAACCAGAAGACCGCCTAAATCCGCCCCTGACAAGTCCAAAACTACACTATGATTCACACGGTGTGCAAAATGGACCCGTTCAGTGAGGAAGGCGCACTGATTGTAGATGTTCGTAGCATCATGATATACGAACGAATACACATATTTAAGGCGCTTGGCTCTAATCAAATTTTACACTATTAAGAAAAACGACCCTATAAAAACATCTGTGACACCTTACAAAACCTTACCTGTCACAGGACCCACTATTCCACCAAACAGCGCTCTAAGTGCAAGCTAAGTCTCAATAGAAAATGTCTTTGCTCTATAGTAGTCGTGACCGCAAACATTAACACGCTTACCCGTCCAACGCGTGAAGTGATAAATATCCTATAATGTCGCATCAAGAGAGAAAACCCCGTATCCCTAAAGTGATTAGAGTGAGGACTTTCGGGTGACAATTTACCGGGGATAACGACCCATCTTTTTTCATCTTTAACGGAAGGGCGCTGCTGATAACGTTAGTCTTAGTGATAAGATGTTGTATACCCGAGGGCTTATATTCCTTAATGATTTTAAAACCACATAACGGTATTGCCTACAATATGTTACAAGGAGACATGCCATTATTGTGATAGTTTGCCTGTACACATACATGCACATCCCGAGGTATGTTTTTCATATTTTGAACAAAGATGTAGCAGACACATTGTACGTTTGACCCCTCTTTCTTTCTTTCTTTCTTTCTTAAAAATCTGATAGCAGTGCCAAGTAAACGGAGCGAACATCCTTAATAAATGTCGTACTGTGTGACGCTAGCTTTCCCTCCCATCACCGCTTTACATAATTCGCTGATTAATTGTAATGTTCCTTTGTCGTTTAAGATCAAATTAGTGAGCGCCTTCCGCTATTTGTCAAATTAGCTAAGGTGCCACAGTATGGTTATCTTCTTCCGCGAGATGAGAGACATTTAGTACAAACAAAGATCAGCAGCAGCAGCAACAACAACAGCAATAATAATAATAATAATAATAATAATAATAGCATAGGTGTTGTGAAACTTGGAATGGTTTTTGCCTTCTACGATGTTATTTACGCTCAAGCACAAACAGGCACTACAGCAACAAATTAACCCCCTCGATTCCCTCTCTGATATCACTTCTGCAGAAATTGACTTTTATACAGAGACAGATATTTGAGATTTCGTCGAAACTTCAGCCGTTACATAAATATCAATTGAGTTTCTCAGAAAAATATTAGTAACATGTTTTATAGTTTACTCGATTTCTCCCACGGGCCACATAGGGTGTGCAGTGGTTTCGATGACCCTTATATACCAGAGACACGCGTCTCTCTCTCTCTCTCTCTCTCCCTCTCAAACACACACACAAGCACACACTTCCTTACCTCTTACCTTTCATGACACCACAATATCCTTCCTTATCGTTCCCCTGTTAGCCCCGTCTAATATAGTTATTTTCTAGGTATTCCGTAAAGCAGGCATACG